TTCTATCTTGTTTTTCAATGATTTAGGCATTCTAAGCAATGATGGCAAGAGAACATGATATGGGCTGCTAATTTTTTTCACATACAGGAACCAATCGGTAACCTCTGCAGAGCTCAGGGAACGCTTTTCAGACATTCGTTTTGTTCGGCTACCAGTAATCAAGTAATCTTCTTTATTTTGTGTCCTACTATGAAAGTGATCTTGAAGATAAAACTGGGGTTGCTCTATAACCTGTTAATGTACTTTTGGCATGCAATATTCTTCGCGTCGGCCTCAAACTATAATGATTCGGATTCAGGAATTTGATGATAGGAGATACTATTTCTGGATGTTGGGCGACGGTTGGAGTACTGACAGAGAAAGGAAGTCCCAAGACAAGTTCGACAGGGAAGAGTTTCTGTATATGGAAAATTGGGAGTTTGGATGAAAGTAATATTTCTCTTTTCTTGTTCGGTGATGCTTATAAGAGGAACTCGCAAGAACATGCAGGGACGCTCTTTGCATTGTTTAACTGTTCAGTACGCAAGGATGCTATGGTATTAAATTATAATGAATCAGTGAAGTACCCTTTATACTGGTTTGCCAACCGTATTTGGACATTTCATTTGTTTTTTGCAGGGTAATGGTTTTTCATTGAGTGTATATTCCCCAAGTCAAATTTTGAAGATAGGAACTTCTATTGATTACGGAGTTTGCAAGGGAAAACGAAACGACGGGATGCCTTGTACGTTGGTTGTAAATATGTAAGCAAATCAGTACTTCGGTTGATGCAATGGATACAATGTTCTTTGATTTTGTCAGGGAAATTTGGACGCTTAGAACTAAGGAGATACGCCACATACCTTAGATTTACTTTCATGCCTGTCAACCTTTTAGAATATGCTCAATTTTAACAAAGAAATCTTGGTTACGCAGAAAAGAAATAAGTTACCTATAAAACTAGTCTAACAAACCTGTATCGTATGCTAAAAGAAATTTGGCGCTGATCTAGCCCTAATCTTCGAGGGGAGGCCGAGTTTTTTTTATTTTTATTTTTTCAGGAAAGCAAGGAATGACGTAGCAAGTGTTAATAGCATATCTAAATGTCGTTGACTTCAGTTGCCCCTCTAACAGTAAAACCACCCCCCCCCCCAAAAAAAAGAAACAGAAAAAAGCAGATCAAGGTTTTTTGGCTCACGTTTACTCGTGTCATCTCTTTGGCTTTGTTTGACGCTGATCTTCTTTGCCATTTCAGACGTCAAGGGATATATTGTAAATATCATAAATCGGTAAGCAGTATCGAGTCCTTCAATGTTTCTTGACAATATTATTCGCAAAAAGGTTATGCATTTACTTAACTGCCTCCTATCTGCTGCTATCTTGTAGAAATCATCAAAAGAGTACTCCACAATGAGAACTGAACTCAAGGGAGGGTGAGTGAATAGTGATGAGTGTTTGCTATTCTCATCATCTTTTTGTTTGTGAAATACTCAAAAGTTGCTCGATTGATTTCCCTTAATTATGTGTACAAATGTGTTTTTATTAACAGGAACTTAAAAACAGCATTTAGGCCTAGGGATTATCTCAAGTCAGAAGGAATCTACTTAGTTGATCCTGTTATTGGCAAAACAAACCCAACGAAATCTCAGCCACTAAAGTTGTTGTCAGTGGATGCTCTTAAAAAGGCATTGAGGTTTGTTATACTTAGTGCAACTAATTACCTGTTTTGCAATATTTGCTGGTAGCCCGTAGGCTTTGATTTTCACTGCTTTTGACTTTCGATGCCATGAATTAATTTTCATCTCTATACCAGCAATGCTGACAAAGTGACAACAAATATGCATTCGCAAGGGATCAGATTTCTTTCAGAGGTCACAGGTCATTATTACACGGTCTTGTGCTTTTATGATAGCCCCATGCAATCGTGTTCTGAGCTACTTTTTACTTCCGATTGCAGGCAAGCCTGACTCTAAGGCAGTGAAGAGAAAACAAATGATGCCAAATGAGCAAAGCAAGTGCATTGATAAGAGGCAAGTTGCGAATAAGATTTAAGTCGATCTCATTTGTCTGATATAGTAAGTAGTACTAGTATACATGGTCTGTGGAAGTATGCTAGTCTAACTAGTATCTTATCTGTCGCTTCAGGAAAGCGTCGTCATTAAACGAGGGATCCCCTGCAACAACATACGGACACTTAGGTGCCAAAAGAATAAAAGCCGAAGGGCAAGCATCGGCTGATAAAACCACAAGGGGTAGTGGAAAGATGATCGAATTAGACCTTGTTAGTTCAGATGAGGACATCTGAGACTTCTGGTCTGAGCACAATCCAGCTGATTCTGTTGCTGAGATTTATAGTATTGAAGAAAATTTACTTTCTGATTAGAAAACGAAGACTTCTGCAGGATGGTAACTGGTAAGTGATGGTGTAATAGCGCAGATCAGTGGACATAGAAGCTCAACACGTCGGGAAGGGCTGTCATTGCTGCAAATATGCTAAATGCGAGGGCGGGGTTCAAATTTTGGGATTGTCATGTTTGGTTCAGATGAATTCAATTTTATTCCTTTGTCCGGGGAATGCTGATTACCACAACTGGACAAATGGGGACTGGTTACCAAGTGTCGTTGGTGGTGGTATGTGCATCCTTTTTGGGAGTAATTTTTTGTTTGACAAAAACACTCCTTATACAGCCCCGAAATGCTCAACAGGAATATTATTTGATTAGAATTGCACTTATCTCTCAAATATCGAAATGTTTGGTTGAAGTTTGCGAAAGCATTGTAAAATGATCCAATGAGGCAACGTATTGCTTTTATACAAAAGTTAAAAATATTTTTTTTCCAATTCAAACAATTAACAAGCAGTTTAATATTGGGAGAATTGTAATTAGGTTTTACCTAAGGGAATTAAATATAAAAAGTTTTTTGAAATCATAAAATTATTTTAAAGTTCTAAGAGATTTTTTTGTAATAAATTTTATTTGTGTAATTACTAAATTATTTTTAAAAAAATTTGTATTGATAACTAAAAAAACAGTAGTTGACAATTTAGAATATAATGATTAATAACTATTACGGTTAGTTTGATAACTTATGTGTTATATTTTGTGATATGTTAAGAAAATGTGTTGTTAAATCAGTTGTGATAGTTGTTAATCTTTGTACTTTAGTTTTTAAGTTGTCAACTACTACTCTTTCAATTGTTAATACAAATTTAAAAAAAAAGGTGATTTAGTAATTAAATAAATAAAATTTATTGTAAAAAAGTTTCTTGAAACTTTAGAATAATTTTATGATTTTAAAGGATTTTTTTGTATTTAATTATTTTTGGTGAAACCTAATTGCAATTCTCCTTTTAATATTTATACTTAATATATTAAAATCCTAATTATGAAAAACATTATTAAGTACTTTATTTTCTTTTATCATAATTATTATACTCGTCCAATTTTTTATCTCTATTCTTGCATTATTTTTATTCAACTAAGACGTGTTGAATATAATCATTTCATCTCCAGCTATTTATTAGGGGACAAAAGCAAAGCAGCCATTTGCGACTTTTATTAGCGTCTTTCTCAAATTATCCGCTACTTCTTTTCGTCGACACATGGCTTTCTCCTCCAATAATAACGCCATGATTTTAAATCCTACGGATAAAAAGAGGGTATCCAGAGCATTGAAATTGTTGAAATCTAAGATGGGTTTTGCAGCTCAGCTAAAAAAAAAGAAAAAAAGAAGGGTTTTGCAGCAAGTCCTGAAAATGATGGGTAAAAATTGGATTGAAAATTTAATATCATTGATTGTTTGGAATTAAATAAATTCGTATATATGGGATTCAAAAATACTACTCCTCTGGTCCTTAATATAAGACCCAATTTTTAAGTTGGTTTTGGTCCTAAATATAAAACCTATTTCTCATATTTATCAATTTTCTCTAAATTACCCTATGGATACTCCCTCAATCATAATCAAGTAGAAGAGGGAAAGATATTAAGAAAAATGATTATGGTGTTTTAGGAAAAATGTGTCACTTTTCTTGTAATTAATTAACTTACCTAACTTCTTTAATCTAATCAAATTAGTTAAATGAGTCTTATATTAAGGACCGTAGGATATTAGAGAAGGTGGTACCCATCTTCATAAGATTAACTATTTTCATGTAATAAAAAAGTACTCATTAAATATTTCTTTTCAATTTCAACCCCAATCTTTACTTTTTTATTTTTAAAGCTTCTTATCAGGACCTAAATGTTGAGCAAGAGGATCAAATTCACCGTCCGAATATGATTTGGCGCAGGATCAATCGTGAGTGGTATTACTATTACCCCATTGTCACTCTATTTTTAAAACTAAAACTAAATGTTCTTCCACTATGGATGGAGCGATGAATTCCAAGGATAAAAGAAATACTCCCTTTTGTTTTTATTATAAAATTTAAATAATTAATTTATAAATAATAAATAATAAATTAAAATTAATTATAAATAATAAATATGTTAAAAATATATTTTTATTTTCAAATATACCTTTATAATAAATAAAAAAATGAAAGAGAATATGTGAAACAATGTGACAAGAGAAAAATAATTAAAAAACATTAAAAAATATATTAAATGTTAAGACAAATCCAAATTAAAATTTATAAAATAAATCATGTTTTTTTTTTTGAAATTTAAAACTTATAAACGAATGATTGTTTTTAAACCAAATGAATAAATGATTTGCCACCTGAGGCAGTGAGGCAAGAGATGGTAAATTTAGACGCGTACAATTGTTTTTTTCCCGGCAACTTCTATAGAAATACTGACGATGATCCTCATATCGATATTCATAGTGATGCACAATTTTGATTGGCCATGACTGGAACATCCAAGCAGCTTCTCTGAGTACCTATATATTTGCTGAGCCAGTGACTCTCAATTGTGAGTTTGTGACTTTTGGAAGCAATCGTGTGGAGTCTCTTAATCCAGCCCCTTGCTTTGGTGCGTCTATTTTTGCTTTCTGCGATGCTGCTTTTTAATTTAGGGTTCACGGTTCCACTACCCACTTCCCCTTCGTCTCGTGCCTCCTCGTAACCTGCTCATCTTCGTAGGGTTTTCACGATGCCTGTTTCTTCGGTTTGGGACATATTCGAATCAATTAAGTTGCTTCTTGTATTAATTGTGCCGTTTTTTGTGTTCTCTTCCTACAACTCGCACTGAGCAAATATTTCATTTCTTACTTGATTGTTGCTTATTGAATACGTTGGTTGTGGCCGCTGTGGAATTTAATCCGGGTAGCGTCCAAAATGTTGAATGCTTATGGCGTTATTTTGACACGTCTACAAAGTTCTTCTTGACGTTTAATTTAATTGTTATATAAACATTTTACGATGCGTTATCAATTTCTTTATTTCTTTTTTCTTTTTGCTAATTTGTATCTTTCATGAAGCTCCCCTTTTTCATCAGTTGAATGCTATTGATTTTATGAAGGAATCGAATTCGAAGGTCTTCGATCGATCATGTTTGTTGTTAATATCTCCCTTTTTCCCCCCTAATCAGCACCAACTCTGCGTTTATTTGGAATTTCCTGTCGCTCGATGGACGACGGTGAAGTGTTCTCGAGCCCCATCGTGGGCGAACTTCCTAGCAGTTGCTCAATGGATAGTTTCTTCGAAGAACTTCTCAAGGATACGCATGCTTGCACTCACACCCACACTTGCAATCCCCCCGGCCCCGATTTTTCACATACCCACACTTGTTATCATGTGCACACCAAAATTGTCCCCGCCCCTGCTGAAGACAAGGCTGGGACTGATGACACCGCAGAGTCAGTGGAAAAGAAATCAAAAAAACGTCCTGTTGGTAATCGTGAGGCAGTTCGTAAATATCGTGAGAAAAAGAAAGCCCGTGCTGCGTCACTGGAGGATGAGGCTGTGAAGTTGAGGGCCTTGAATCAGCATTTGATGAAGAAGTTGCAAGGCCAGGCTGCTTTAGAGGCTGAAATTGCAAGGCTAAAGTGCTTGCTTGTGGATATTCGGGGGAGAATTGAAGGGGAGATTGGTTCATTTCCATATCAGAAATCAGCTAATTCAAATCCACCAAATCCAAGCTTGTCTGGTTCTTATGTGTTGAATCCTTGTAACATGCAGTGTAATGATTTGGCCTATTGCCTCCGTCCTGGAGCAGAAGGAGAGACTACTGAAGGCCCGCAGCTAAATGGGCAAGGGTTTAATGGTTGTGAATTTGAGAGTCTCCAGTGCCTAGCAAGCCATAATATAGGGCTTAAGGATATTCCTGGTTGTGGAGCTGGACAGACAGTGCCTAAGGTCAATTCTTCTACAGAAAATAAAAGCAAAGGTGAAGCCTGTTAACTCTTTCATTCTAGATTGAATTTGTTTGTTGTGTGTGTGTGTGAGAGAGAGAGAGAGAGAGCACTTGAGAGATGCATGATTTGCTGTGTGGGGTGACCGGACCAACTGCCTGTTTTTGGTTTGGGTGATATAGTTTAGGGCTATGAAAAATCAGTTAGTCCTACTGGAATCCTTAACGTATATCATGTCAGTATTAAAATTCCTAATAATTGTTATGCTATGATGAGAAAATGGTAGAAATCCATTTGAGATAGTTTGGTCACGTGCAAAGGAGGTCTTTGGATGTGCCGGTAAGAAGAGTTGACCAAACAGTATGGACTCTTCTAAAAAAGAATAGAAGAAGGCCAAAGACAACACTTAATGAAGTCATTGAGCTCATTTTTCAATTAACAGTATATCCAAAGATTTGGTTTTGGATAAAGCTCAATGGTGTCATGTGATCTATATAGCCGACCTCACCTAGTGGGATAAGGCTTTGTTGTTGTTATACTATGATGTTGATGAGTGGTTGCTAGATTTTATGTGAGGCAATCTTGAATTTCTGCAGCAAAGGGAGATTTTAGAATAATCGCTAAAGTCTTATGAGTTAGGTGCTGATATTAATAGTACAGCTAGTAGTTTGCATGGTTCCTTGGCTACTTAAGATTGATGACTGCGATCATATATTGCTGGAAAACCTTTAATAGGAGAAGAGAGATGTGAATGAGCATCTTTCTTCCTAACTTCATTAAGTTATCTCTGATGATGTATCCTTTTCAATGTTTTGGCGAGTATTTTTTGTGAATTGGCATGCTAAACCCTTTAGCAGTAGTCTGATATGTTTGATTGCAAATTCTTGGGCAGTATTCTTTTCTAATGATCATATCACTCTTCATTTTTTTAGGGGGAACCCGTGCCTGTGCCCCAAGAGCTGGTTGAAGAGCCAATTTGATGGTAGTTCTCACCGTCTTCACAGTACATAACGTCTGCCAATAACTCATTTACAGTTGCAGCATCAGCTGTCCATCAGGTCAATTTGTGGATCTGATCTTCATTTTTTCGTTTGAAAAATTCTTTCCTTTCTTTTTGGCCCCCATCTGGGTTATCGGCTTGGGATGGCTGTTATGAGATGGAAGATCTAGCTCTGCTGGGTATGCCTAGATTGATGTAGTTCAGTTAATCTCATATCCCACGTTGATGGTTTGTTAGGCAGAAACAGCAGTGGATCTGTAGCCAGCAGAGCTCATGGCAGAGACGGACTTTGTGTTCTTTTATGAAATTAAGTTTCTTTTCAACTCTTAGCATGTCTTTTGTGCCTGGATCCCTTGGGTGGTCGTGATTTGTGCTTAACGTTTCATGAGGATGTTTTGGTGACGTTGCACACTTTACGAACTCTGGCAGTCTGGCAATTTCGATAAGATGGCGCTTGTTTCATCTTTCCATACTATTTCCTCGGAACAGGAAGGACACAAACTTCTTTGTTTAATCAGAAATCTGATTTTTAAGTGAAACAAGGAAGGTGGCTTGATTTGTGTTATGAAGAAACTGTTGTCCTCTAATTGGTTTTTGCATATGGAAATTTGCTGTCTGCTAAAAGGCAGGCACATTAGTTTACTTTGTTTGAGAATAAGGAGCCTGCTTCCGGAATCCGTACTGGGCAGACTAACGAAGGATTGAATATGGAAAGAGAGTACACATCTGCCTGTTTCCTGGTTCGAACACTTGGATTGATGGGAAGATGAATGACCCTGTAAGCTATTGGTGAAAGTTATGTGAGCATGAAATGAATGGCAAATTTTGAATTTTATATTTTGCTTCTTTCAACTCTGATCATATTTGGTAAGACGCCATGTCTTATTGTCTATGTTGGCCTGTAGAGAACCTGAAAAGCATTAACTAGCTTTTGTTTAACAAAACTAAAATAGAAACGTGTTAAATTAGTATTCTAATGACTTCTTAAAGTAAACAATTTTTTCTGCCCCCGGATCTCCAATCAATTAACGACGATTCGTTTGTTCCTCTCAGCCAAAATGTTTGATCATCTAACTTTAGTTTAAATCTTCAATTTTATAAACTGCTTTTTAGTCTAATTATTATTATTATTATATTTTCAGAGACGATCCAATTTACTACCTCCGTTCGATTTTTTTTTGGGTTCTAGGTTTTATTTCATTTTAAAACTAGTTAAAAGATTGATATATTTTTAACCATACTCTTTTCTTACTAAACTATACATAAATTATTATAAACATCCCTACAAGGTTAGAAATATTTTTAACGAGACCGGATCCCCACGACATTTGAGGCCATCATGAGAACGCATACAATGAACAAGATAATTCTGCCAACGGCCATTGCAACTGAGTACGATCATCAGGTCACGTTGAATTTTCCTTTGGCCAACAGAAGTCGGGCACAATGCAAATTGGATACAAGTAAAAACGAGAATACAGATCATTGCCTCTGAACAAGGTCTATGCGTAGTTCTCGCCCTCAGCAGTCCACATGTCGTCGTCATCACCGTCATGGTAAATGCTCTCGGCCATTTGCCAAACCTGGAAAGAGTTGTCTTCAGCTACACTGGAGATCACCCATGGCTGATTTTTGTTCCACGAAAAGTCTGATATTTTCCCTTTGTGACCTCCGTGAGAGAAGAGAAGCTCAGGCGGCCCGTCGTCCCCATCTCCTTCTAACTGCTCATCCCCAACTCTGTTGTCATGGGAAAAAAATCGAAATTTACAAGGTTAATTTCTATTATTTGCGCACGTCTCTGCCATGAATCAATGCAACGTGCATGTGACGGATGCAAAGAAACAATACAGTTCGGAAGAGTCCGTTATCTTTTAAAATACCTGTTAAGGTCCCACACCATTAGCCTTCTATCAGCACCAGAAGATGCCAACACGGTCTCATGATTAGGATCCCATTCTACTTGAAATACCTCATCTCTGCACACAAATTTAATAGCAAGCCAGATCAGCACAGATAAGATCGATTTTTCCTCGGCTATGACTCAGGAACCATGTAATAAAATAGTATCCAAGGAGATCAGTTTCGACCCATAACACAATCTTGACATGGGCCAATGACAGGGTCATAGGTCTAGAGACCCCAGAATTAATGACAATTTGACAAACCCCACGCATTAGAGGGGAGATGGCCAGCGAAGCCCTGACACCACCTTCACACAGTTCAAATAACAATAGGCATAACGTGTCTACAAAGAGCTGCAGAGGAATTCGCTTGCATGAATATATTTTGCCTATATCTTTTATTTTTTATCTTATGGCGGCCAAATAACAGATTCATTCCATATAACAAAATTGCAAACAGAAAAGAAATTCTGGGGCAAGGGCGGCAGTTAACCCACACTGGTTCTACAAGCCAACTTATCATGCTCAACAATAGAAAGAAATGGGGAGGGGGCACTGGACCCCACCGACATGGCACATCGCATTACTGCTAAACTTGGCAAGTTAGTCAGCTACCTTGTTCTCAGACCAAGAAATCCAATGAAGACTGAAACTGAGAACCTTTCTCCATATCTTTAGAATAGAGGTGTGGCAGGAAGAGGACCCTCGAAGATTATACAACAAAACACAACATCATAGGCAAAGGACTTACGTGTGACTGCTTAGTACATGAAGTGGCACTGTCAACTTTCGTGTATCAAAGAGACCAACAGTTGAGTCTGAAGATGCAGTTGCCAGAATCCATTCATTAAATGGGTTGAAAGAGAGAAAGTTCACCTGAATCAGAAGAGAAAGTGGAAATAATATAACTATCAGCAACAAATCATATTCCGGTCAGCTGTCTCGCAGCCTCTCTCTAACTCTCACAGTCTGTATTTCTAATCATGAATCATGAGGGAGGTGGACGAGTACAATGACAACCCTTTGTATCCCATAACATATTGTTTAAACGAAGCAGCAAGTGACAGCGTATGGAACTCAAAACTAAACAGCTGAGTAAAGCGAGCAACAGAAGTGCACATACCAGAACAAATTCTCAGACACATTATGCATGATTTCTAATTTCTTCAGATTATGATTTATACTTCGAACCTATTTTCCATGCTTAATGAATAAGGGACTCCATCAGAATGATATGTTAACTGCATTACCTCCCTATCATGTGCTTTGACTGATTGCTGGGCTTGGTTTGTCCGCAAGTCCCAAATAATCAACTTACAGTCATCTCCTACAGACCCAAATAAATTCTCATTCTTCATATGCCAGGATACATCTTCAACCACAGTTTCATGGGCCTGAAGTAACAGTCATGAGTCCAAATTCGTAATAAAGTATCAGCCAATATGGCAAGATGATCAGTTCTGCATATCAACGAATAAACATGAAGTTTCCGCATTACCTCATAAATGTGAATTGCGTCAAGCACGTTCTCTTGAAGGGAAGCTGATATATCCCACAAGCAAATCTTATGGTCATGGGAACCACTTAAAAGGTGCCCTTGCTTAAAGGGGCTCCAAGACAAACCATATCCTTCTTTGCCATGACCCCTCAGTCTCAAATCAGGGTCACAGCCAAGCGCCCGCTGCTTCCCGAGCTGTTTTCCAGAATCGAACACATAAACCTCGGAACTACTAGTTTTAGCGCCAATAACATTCGGGTTTTGCGGCATGCACCGCGCTCGGTTCACCTCGCCGTCAACGGCAATTCTTTGAGTGATTTCTATCTATAAAAGGATTTAAGAAGAAAAAGTAAAGCTGAGTCAAACTGACGTATTTTATCAAACACTCGGTGCGCATAAAGCAGTTCAGCAATATGCCAACACCTAGGCAAACACAAAAAATTACCCTAGGGGTAGCAGGATTCTCGGAATCGACATTAGCGACGGCATCGGATGTGTTGACGGGGAGAGCAGCCTCGGCGATCATGAGAAAGTTGGGGACGCCTTCGGAAGTGTGAGTACCGAGGAGGAGCTTGTGGAGGTTGAAAGAAGAGTGGGGTTGGGGCTGGGGGGAGGAGGGGACCCAGTGGACGGTAAGAGAAGGCCATTGAAGTGGGTGAGAAACGACGAGATCGTAGAGGATAGGGGTGTTCTTCTTCCAGACGGCGAACTCTTCTTCCACCTGCCCCGCGTCCTGCTCGTAATCTTCCGCCATTTCTGCCTTTTCCCTCCAAAACCAATGACAGACCCTCGCGCCAATAGCTTGTGAAATGTAGGGAGTAACCTACTGGGTGACTGACCGCAAGTCCGCAAAGAAACCCCCTCTTAATTCTTAAAAGGTCTTTCGTCATATTTGGGCCGGGCCCAAACACTGCCTCGTCCCTGGAGGCCCATTCATCTGATTCGATGAAGTTTGTGATGGTTAGTCCTACTCCATCTAGAAAATACAAACCTGCTTCACTTAGATAAAGAAAATTAACATTCCAGTGTTAGTTTCAAGTGCTTCAGTTGCATGACTCCCAATTTAACGTTTGAACATATATCTTATATTTAAACTCTTTATTTCTCATGATTTGGACTTATTTAAAATCTATCTATTATTTGATATTTACTACCTGATCTCCTATGTCCCGTAACTTTTTGACTATAAAGGTAATTTGCAAAAAAACAAAATTATATATATAAAAGAACAAGAAATAATAGATCACAAAAATAAAACTTACTGTCAAAATACAAGAACATGAAAAGAAAAAGAAGACCGGGTCCAATAAAAAGAGGCATGCAGAGTTGAGGGATGTTGGATAACTCTTACCCTGCTCTCAAGTTTATTTTATTTGCTTCTTGACCTGCGGAATCCTCACTTGCCTTGCCTGTTTCTGGTTTTCTATTTTCCATATCAATGGAGGCTCGTATTTCAGGATTGGGTCTTCTTGTTCCGAGTAACCGTATAAACACAGCTTTTGAACCCCCCCCCCCCCAAAAAAAACACCTCTCCCCGGGATAGGCTTGGCCAAGTGCCCTTGCTCTAACCCATTTTTCCAAACCCTTAACCATCAAATTAGTATCAATGCCTAGCTAATTAGCAAGTGCGATGTACGGACCCAGGCCATAAATTATGTGACTGGTGGCATTTTCTCGGCAGAGCACGGCACAGGGGCATTAATCAATTCATTCATTTCCTCTCACTTGCCTTTTTCTGTATAGTCCGGCTACGAAAATGAACGTGTGAAGAGAATAAGAGTCGGGCCTTCGACGAACCAAAAAGCCACAACTAAGCAGACCCGTGATCAGATCACAGATATAGCTATTGTCAGGCTAAAGCCGCTGGGCTGAATATTATCCGACAACGCTCGCTCAATGTAGTTACAAAAAGCCTAGGTGACGCCAGGGTTCAAGCTCAAGCTTGAGAATACCCATTACCACAATTACAGTCATCTCTGGATATGTCTTTGAATATTACAATGAAGAAGAATTACACTCCCCTTGTAAACATGAAATTATCTATCTTCAAATGTTCATGAGCATACAAGTAGATCTCTGGTTAATATTGTTGATACACCATTTCAGCCTAGCAACTTTCTTCCTGGCAACAAATAATACGTCGATTACTTCATTTAACTCCTGCTCCAAAACGGATGTTCTGCTGCGCCAAACAAATAAGCATTTCAATAATCACCGTTCATTGACACAGCGCAAAGGACAGGTACAATCCACATGCGAGATGTTTGCCTATAAATACTCGAACGTTAATATTACGTTTCTATACTGTTCACCTTCGAAGTTAGCAGTGATTGACAATTAAATTTTGTTGGGATTTTTACTCCGGTCTTGTGAACAAAGTTTTGTTTTTTTATTATTATTATATCTGTGATCTTTTTGAAAGAAGAGAAAGACTCGGGCATGCATCAGATTTGATTAATCGGAAACTTAGGCATGATTGCAGCACATTAGGGGAGAGAGAGGGGCATTAATAATGAGAGGGAGAAATTAAGAAGGAACAGGACATGGGCTGGTGAGCTGAAAGTAGCTTGATTGGTCATGCATATCCGAGTGATGGTCAATTACTATACTGAGTACTGACCGACCGGTGAACACAGGAATACCATATAATAGGGAGCAACACGTAGACACTAGACGGTCCAAGTTGCAGAGAAGAGGCCCCTCAGTAAGTCTCCATCGATGTGTGTATGTCGGGTTAGGCAAACAAAAGTGACAAGGTAGAATTGCACAGTATGGCCAGGGGCCGGCCGCTTTCACGTTACTTGCGTGTATGTCGGTCTCCAATGTCCAAAAACACCATCTCATAATTCAACTTCCACGCATCTTCATCGTCCCACCCACTCTCACGCACATCCACCTTTTTCAGATCCACGTCGCACCACATTCAACCGCATTCATTTTTCACACTTCCATTGACTATACTGTGGCCTGCACAGGTACAGCACCGTGGACATATATTCATATGTGGACACAATTTCCATCTTTTGTCAAGCGACAGTAAATCTGTACATTAGTTTCGGATTTGGTTTCCTTGTATCATCAATTATTCTGGCAACTCGCCATCCTAGGCGCCCTATGATCCATAGCAGTAGGTAACATTCATTTTTATCTTAAAAGTGAGCATTTCTTGAAGCAAAGGTGGTTGTGGAAAAAGAGGAACAAGGACCACGAAACTTGTTGGAGAGTGGGAGGGGCGTGCGTGGAAGAAGCGCCGCAACAAAGTCACCAAAGTCTCCTCCAAAAGTATGTGTTGGGGGCGGTGGTCACAAGCTGTGACCAGAAGCCTTATCGAACCTTGCGCGTATACAACACCATGCTTTGATTTAAATTTAAGGGTTAATACAATGATTAGTCCTTACACTTTTCATTCATTTTGGTTTTGGTCCCTGAAGTTTGGAACCTCCAGTTTTGGTCCTTTAAGTTTGCTCCGTTTAAAACGTTAGTCTTTATATTTTTAAAAGGACTTGGTGTCACCTTTAACACTGTTAAATATGCTGACATGTCCCTAACTCTGTTAAATATGCTCATATGGAACCAAGTGGACGAGCTGAGGTGGCTTATAAAAGATTAAAAAAAATTTGACAATTAAAAAAATGGTAGAGAAAGGAACAGGCGGTAAAATGTAATACCCAAGTCGAAGGCCAAAACCATTCTTTGCAATCGAAAAAAGAAAAAGGAGAGGGTTAGGTCAAAAGTGGTCCCACTTGGTAGTCGCCGGAGTTGAGCTGGCCGTCGCCGGGGGTGGGGAACTGACCGATCAAGGTGCGACGACAGTGAAGGAGGAATCGCATTTGACAACAAAAAAAAAAAAAGTAAGCTCATCTCAGACAATCACCGCGCATTCTAACTCAAAGCTTATTTTCAACTATATTCTTAAATATATATTAGAGAAATGGTCTTCTCGAATACGTATTTGAGAACTGGTCTTCTTGAATACATATTCGAGAACTGATCTTTGGTCTTCTCTGCTCTGTCCTCTTCTCAGACTTCACATGCGCCTCACCTCGCTTTGCTTTGTCCTAACTCTCAATGTCGACGACAAAAGCGACCTTCGATGACAACATTGACCTTCGGTCAGTTCAAGAATATAACAGTTTCCTTTGTGATAGCGCGGTGATTGTCTGAGATCAGCATATTTAACAGTGTTAAAGGAAACACCAAATCCTTTTAGAAATATAAGGACTAACGTTTTAAACAGAGCAAACTTAAAGGACCAAAACTGGAGGTTCCAAACTTCAGGGACCAAAACCAAAATGAATGAAAAGTGTAAGAACTAATCATTGTATTAACCCTAAATTTAATTAACCTTTTCGACCAATATAGTCGCATCGCCAATAACCTTCCCAAAAATTAAATGCTCTTATGGTTATCCTTTTAAAACTCGTAGGGGAGAACGGAGAGGAATAAGACGGGCCTTGCATTTCGTGCTGCGCGGGCTAAGGGTGTCAGTCAGTGATATCACAGTGCAGTACTGTATATATGAATTGAAAAGTAACGAGTATTATATTTGTGTGCTTCGTGTTTGGGGTTATATATAAATGGCGATGGATGATAATTGATAAGCCTAGAATTTTTAGCCGGCTAGCGTTGGCCGGTGCCCCCATCACGAGACGAGTCAACAATCTATAAGGAAGGGGTGGGGGTTGTTTAGTGGGGCATTTCGGGCAGTTACCAGAGATTCACAGAATTTGCGGGATGGAGGCGTTTGAACAAGTGCAAGTCGTGTCACCTTGGCGTCTTGCCAAAAGGTTCTAAAAGCAGCTGACATGAGAGGTCGGGTTCAGCAGTCAACAGCTTTTTGTGTCTTTGGAAAATCCTGTCCGGATTTAGATACTGCCGTGTTGAATTTTCGTCACCTGCAATTCTAGGAAGTTGTTTCTTCCTGATAACTCTGTTTTAATTAAACCCGGCCCCACAATTCATCATTAATTAAACTCATGCCTCGTACACTTTTGTTTTTTCCCGGTGTGAAATTGCGCGTAGTTCAAATCCATACTGTAGAGCATAAGAAATAATAATACCACAATTAATGGAAGGGAAGCACCAAACACCAAACCCCAAACAAAATAAAGGAGGAGTGAGACAAGAAGCTGCAGAACAAGGAAGCCAGGAATGGCAACTGCTACTAGAGACAATTGAAGAGAGTTGAATAATTAGAAATGGGGTAATATGGATGGATTACATAATTAATGAATGGGATATGTGATATTGCTTTATTATAAAAGTGACAATTATATACCGAATACTCCTGGCCTAGTGGTGACTGCTAGGCCAAGTGAGGCGAGTCTCTGCTTTGAGGGTGGGGGTTCGAATCCTCACTTGTTAAAAAGGGTACCGGGGGGCTTTACTTGTCGCCCGGCCCGAATCCGGACTAGTCGATCGCTCGGGTACAATGGCCCAAAGAGGCTGGGGCCCAGAAAAGGCGCATACCGGATGGTTTATATCAAAAAAAAAAGTGACAATTATATTATGACAAAGGGGAGGGTGAATGGAATTAATACGGATTGGGCGGGTTAAGGAGACTTGTTATTATTAGCTAACGACTACTCGTCCCTGTTCTCATCTCGCGCCACATATCACTGATCATCCTTAAAGAAGTCAAAGAGAAAAAGAGAATTACGTGTTGTGTTGGGTTTTGACGCCTTCACACGCTTTCAACACTAATCCAATTAGCATTAAAATATGTAACATGTGCGAATGCAAACCCCTGATTCAAAAACTGGTAGTAGTATTAGTATATTCCAAATCCAAGTTATGATCCATCAACCTTGCGTGCCTGCTTGATTCCCTACTAGACATGCATCTTAATGTCAAAATCTCGTATATATATCATCTCATCATCGCATCCTCTCTACCAATTTCCAACTCATGAACCTTTTTATCCTCTCAACCGCACGCACAGACACCCCATAATTACTAGTTTCCCATTCTTGTTTTAAATTGCATTACTCGTGTGTGTAACCCTCAAGTCCTTAATATAGAACTCAATTATCAAGTTGGTTTTGATCCTAAATATAAGACTCATTTCTTATATTTATCAGTTTTCTCTACATTACCCCTATAGATATTCCTTCAACCATAATCAGGTATAAGAAAAAGAGAGGGTATTAAGAAAAATAATATAGTCTTTTAAAAAAAACGTATCACATTTCTTATAATTAACTAACTTACCTAACTTTTTTAATCTAATCAAATTTGTTAAATAGGTCTTATATTAAGAACCGGAGGAGTATATATTACTCAAAATATTATGCTGTTTAGCTTGCCATTTTCAGAGTTTGAACAGGATAGAGAACTTTGATATTCGAACACTTAGTCAGTACTTGTTTAAAATCAAATCAAAGAGTTGTAAAATAAGCACTGGATAAGAAAGACATTTGTTTTGATTTGATTGGATTAAGAATTAACTATATATGTGATTAAATATCTAAGATATTAACGTTAAAATATGGGGAAATTTTATGCGTCTAAATTTAACTGGAATGACTCAGATTAAGACTAAGATTAAATATGCATCATACGTAGATAATATTATATACATAACTAAAATTTCGTAGGGGGACTTGTGAAAATTCTATTTATTTTTTTCAAAAGTTATATTATCTAATTAAATTTTCATGCTGCTGCTTGTTACAGAGGATCTTATCGCTAGTTAAACAAATTGATTGATCTCATCATCTACTCAATCCAATAGCGTTTTTTCCTTTTAAAAAATTGCGCCATCATCAGTATATAAAACACGCGCATATATGCTCAACGATTACAAAAGTAAAGTTTATAAAGTTGTTGACCAAACAAAGTTTATTAACCACGAACCTGAAATTATTTTTAAAATTTAGTTCAGATCATTATCAGTGTTAACGCGTGGACGTGATTTGAGGGCTTTTTTTTTTTCCCCCCAAGTATGAACCACCGACTAGCTATTATAACTTGGTATTTCTGCCGTCCTCCGCTATTTAGGATCAATGAATTGTTGCTGGCCAAAAAAATAATAACAGCAAAATGATTTGAGCATATTTATTGCGGAAATCACAGCAATTGCGTAGATCTGTTGTTTATGTGATATTTTTTTTGGGCCAAAAAGTAGACACGTACAGGTTTTAACATGGAAACGACACAGACTGGGGCCTGACAATGATAAATAGGAATTTGATAATTTAAATGAAGGAATGGGTAAAAGATAAGGAGGATTTGGTGGGGGCATGAATCTGACAACGCGAATTCGTCTCTCTCTCTTCACATTCAGAACATATTATAGACAGACACCCCAACAGCAATCTCCATTATATATATATACGCACACTTGCGAAGCAACTCCTACTAATCCCTTGCTCCCTTTTCCTCCTTCAAACTTGTTAGTGACTATCTTCACGCATATCCATCTCCCCTCACCCAATCTGAAAGACATCTCTTGGCAAAAAGTTTGTGTTTTTGATCTTTGGTATTTGGTATACATGGCGATTCAAGTTGGGCTCCCACAAACTTCACAGGACTTGATTAATCTCCATGCTTGTGCTGTCGCTGCCTTCCCTCACTCCTGTTTTCACCCTCCCCAAAAGCAACCACAACAGTATTTCAGTGACCCGCTGATGCACCCAGACATGCTTCACCCCAATCTTCTTGTTTCTGCCTCAAAATCAAATAACGACTTGGATATCAATCATCCCCCTTCACTTCCTACTTTTCAAACCTCGGCTCTTCAATTTGTAAACCACGATCATGAGATTGATCATTACATCAAATTGCAGGTTGCTGGTATTCCTGCCTTCGTCAACTTCTTCTGATTTATCTGATGTATTCAGAATACTCTGTTTCATGCCAACGAGTTGGAAAATTGTGTTAACTTGGTTGTTGTAACAGGGTGAGAAACTGAGCATCAAATTGCAAGAGCAGAGAAAGCAACAACTGGCGACGATATTGAACGCGGTGGATTTAAGCATGCTCACTTCGCTGGGGCAAAAAGATGAAGAAATTGCTCGGGCAGCAAAGAAAAGGACGGAGTTAGAATATCTTTTAAACAGAGTAGAAGCAGAGAATCAAGCATGGCGGAGAGCTGCTTTGGAGAGTGAAGCCATGATATTATCGCTAAATAACTCACTAGAGAAGATGAAAGAAACGGCTTACTGTAGTTTCAACAATGTATGGGCAGATGAGGCACAATCCTGCTGGGACGAAAGCGGACGAGATTACAAGCAGATGGAGGAAGAAGCAAAAGACGATGATGAACAGAAAGGGAGAGAGATGGCCGCTTTCGCTTGCAAAAGTTGCAATTGTGCCATGGCCTGCTTTTTGTTCCTTCCTTGCAGACACCTTTGTGCTTGCAAAGCTTGCGAGCCTTTTCTCCAGGCTTGCCCCGTCTGCACAATGCCTAAGAAGGCCAGTTTAGAGGCTTTGATATTCTAGGCTTATTTTCCGGGAAAAAGTAAATACATGTACATGGCAACCAAAAAAATAATAATTGAGAGATATTCAGATAGATTAACCGTCTGATTACTCGTTAGGAAGCATTTGTTCATAAATTTCCTTTTTTTCGGTTGTTTTCGGAGGTTTTTCTTCATAAGGATTTCGGGGCTTCGAGTATTTAGACGTAATTTATGCTTAAGGCCACCAAACTAATCTGATAACATCTTTTCTTCCGGAAAATTTATCGCTTTTTCCAATTTCTATTACCCCCCCGTTTTCTTGCTTTGCTGAGTCCAAAATATACAACTTCGATATATCGATAGATGAAGATAAGCCAGGCATAGCAAATCCACAGTGAAAAAGAACCCTTTTTGGTTTTCGTCTTCACTTTAAAACCCTATTCGATCCATAGTTTTCACCTTGTTTTTCCCCCCCACATGATCTGATGGGTCCAGCAAATCTCAGGGCGAATTTTTCACCGGTGGTGAAATAAAATTCACCGACTCTACTCTTGCCACCACCACAAAAGTGACTTCGTCATTTACCAACAGGCAAAAACGAGATTTGATTGAATTGAAAAGTTATTGTTGTGAGAATTGGTTTGAAAGGCTCCATCTTAGGAGGCGGAGAGGATATATTCCTGGGCACCATTACACAAGGGGCAACATGTTTTAATCATAATTAAGGAGTTATTTGGAGATTTTTGTTGAAAAGAGTACTTGAAGTAGTTAGACGCTAATTCCTCGCTTTTCATCTCCATAAATCTACTGGATAATTATAAAACAAAATTTACCCCTTTTCTCTTTCTTTTATTTTCTTCATATGATTCACGCACTTCTCCTTCACCCTTTTCCACTTCCGATTAAGCTATGAAATATTTAAGCATCTGCATATTGCTATTAAGGCCTGAGGTTGGGCCATAATTCTTCTGAGAGTGTACAGCAGGACAGAAAAAAGATGAAAAATGAAATATGTGCAAGTAAGAAGAACTTAAAGGCAAACATGCAGAAGAGTTCATTGAACCTACGTAGACGAAGTTATACACACCCGAGACAATATAGACCATGGCAGCAACCAATCTCAGATGCTGCGGGAACAATAGACTTGCTCTAAACTATCCAATATCGCTCAGATCCCTTGCTTTCTCTTGACTCCATTAATATGCTTCAAAAAATAGAGACTGTTTAAACGATGCATTAATAAAGGCTATACCCAAAAAACTGGCTAATGAGGATGGCAAATCCCAGGGCTATTGCAACAAGGGAAGAAACCCAAGTGAGTTTCTCAGTTATTCTAGGTACTTTATCCTTTAGAGCCTGACTACATGAACCTAAGAAAACTGTATAGCTTCCCATTGCAACTACTGTCCCAAGCAAGAACATGATAAGAAATGCAGCACCTGCCAAGCGAGAAGGCAAAGCAAGTGCAGGCAAGACCATCATCAATGCATCGGGCTGCAGACCATGAATTATCCCAGTAGCAAAAGTAGCAAACCCGATTTTCTTCTTTCCTACAGTTGGATTCTCAAGTGCTTCATACGCACTCACGTCACATTCACCATTTTCTAAGGCAACGCATGGGGTAGGCACTTCTGAAGCTTCCCTAATTCCCATAGCCCCAATCACAAGGAGGGTAAGCCCAACCACCCTTGTGCCCCAAGTTCGGATAACCTCAATGTGAAGCCGATCTTTCAGAAATAAGAATATCAAGCCAAAGATGACCTGACCAGCATCGTGGCCACAACCCCACAGGGCTCCAACAGCAGCACTCTCCATTCGGGTACGACCAATGGACAGTGGAGCCAAAGCCGCTAGGTGGTCAGGCCCTGATAACGTGTGCAAGCAACCAGTGAAGAAACCGGTCCATGCACTACTTAGCAGCTCACTTTGGATTAGTTTCCTACCAACCGCAGCAGCAGCAGGACTACCTGTCTTTGATGTAGCATGAAATGCTGCCATAGCTGATGGTGCAAAAGTTGGTTGGAGTAAGATCATAACAAGAGCAGAGAGTATTACAAACGTCTGAGCAGCTACAGCCTGAGGGAAAAAAAAAGTGTAAAGACCAACTTTTAATAAACCCTGTCAATTCTGAGCGAATAGTAAGCAACGTTCCACTTGGATGTTGAAGGGGTTTGAATGGAGCACAATCAATCTAGTAAATTTCTATTGGCATACGGCACTGCTACGTGATGCACTATAGTTACCTAAGCACTAACAGTCTCTATAAACCCTTCCAACCAAAGGTTATCATGAATTTCACCAAAGAAAAATGATCAAGATCAAAATGTCAAACCCATCCAATTCAAAAGAGTAACTATCCAGCAAAATTCACTAAATACCTAATTTTTCTGATTCAGTCATGCATGATTCAACATCTGATCATTATCATTATCTAGCAGCATCGCTAAGGTAATTTCTGACCCTAGCTCAGCCATGTCAAAACTGAAAAGACTAATAAGTTTAATAGCTTATGATGGAAATCAGCTACAAGCCTACCAGATGCCCCAGTCCCCGACTCCCAAAGTAGGGTAGAACCAAACAATAAAAGAATCTGCAGCATCTAAGTCATACAGAACAGGCATCATCAGTCAGGTCATAATATATGTAAGCTGGTAATCAAGCCCACTTGGTCCGTAATATATTAAGATAAAAAAATAATCGCATTTCTTCATTATATTATTTTGCTCAAAAATAACAGAATAGGCCATGCTCGTATAATTTGCTAATCTACAAGTAGCAATCAGATGATTTGAAACAGAGCAGCAAACAGATGTCAGACGCTCTCTGCATCAACAGAAAAAAAACAGACCCGAAGAGTACAATTCAGTGTATTAATTCAGAAATTGATTGAAATCACAGTATGCAATTTCCTTTTGACAAGTTCGTAATCTTTAAACCTCATCCGCTCCAAAATGATGCCATCTCAAAGCAGAGGCAGCCCAGGGTCATGCTTTCTAATAGGACAAACTTCTATAGTCAATTTCAATCTCTCCTGTAACTATACAATTGTCTTGAACAACAATGCAACGAACACAAACAACAAAAGAGAAATAAATCATAAACAACTGAAGCAGTGGACTGACAGTATATGCACGCAAGACTTAACCGATCATTGCATAAACACCTAGAAAGGGAAATCGGCCTTTCATGACAATGGCCCCATGAACTAAATACCTTTCGTTTTTGAAAAGCTCCATTCCTAATCTGATTGAGAATTGGGGATTTGGGCGTCAGACTGTCGGAAAAACGGGCTGCAGAAGAGGAAGGAGACCTTAAATTATTGCGTAGCTGGGATGAAGCAAAAGAGGGGGTGTTAGTCGGTAATGAAGGAGGGCTTTCGCGTTTACAAGAAATGGAATTGACCCGTCTACAGTGGCAACGGTTTGGTGAGGAGAAAATGCGAGTAGAGCAGTCAAACCGAGAGGTTCGTATGAGAAGAGTCGAAGGCTTCAGACTCAACTTGAGAGGAGTTGGAGAAGACGACGATAGAAGCCTATCCATGGCTTCTATCTGCAGAAGAATGTAGAGGCACAGAAATGAAACGAGAAAGAGAACCTATAGGATAAATAACTGATAAAGCTTCCGTGCAGATGGTATAACGATCCAGATTATTACTTAAAGTTTTACAACGAATAACGATTTAAAGAAATTATACAGGTTAATTCACTGTTTTCTTCGTTTGGCTTTGTAATATAAAGTTACATGGTCTGCAAAATAGTGCAGCTTAATGGAATTTTATACTGTAAATTATTTAGAGGCATTATCAAACAGTATAAATCATTATTTCTGTGAGATAACTAAACTGTTGTAACTTGCTCCTGCATTGAAGTATGATTCATGCGGTTTGGATAATGCGGCCGTGTAACAAGTTTTTACTTTTTACATCATATGAGTATAAGACTGTCACTAATATCTTAAGTTTTAACTCATATCTCGATAGTTATATGCACGACATTGTTTAATGGGAGAATTATAATGAGGTTCCAAACAAGGAAAACAATTGAAAAACAAGTTTCAGAAGTTGTCATTTTCACTATAAAACTTGTTATTATAGACTGTTGAGCTTGTTATTAGGACTTTTTAATAATTATTTCTCTTCTATAAGACTTAATTGTAATTCCTCCTTGTTTAATTGTCTTGGTATCGTCATAATTTTTGTTAGAAAAATTTAAAATATAAAAAATGAGACCATGCGCTCACTATAATAATTTTAAGAAAAACTAGTAAATTATATAAAATACTACCTTAGGTCCTTACTATAGGAGCTAGTTTTACAGTTAATTTGATTTTAAATATAAGATTTCAATTTACTTTGTTTCTTATATTTATCATTTTTTCAAAGTAGTTCTTGTAGTAGTTGTCCTTGTTAAATGTTATATCAAATAGTAGTTTTACTCACTACAGATGATTAGCAAGGGTATTCTAGAAAAAACAACACCTATTTATTACAAATAACTAGTTTACTAATTTCTTTAATATTTCCAAATTAATCAATTAGGTTTTATATCAAGGACCAGATATATATAGTATATTTATCTTCAATATATTTTTATACGTCATTATTGTATATTGATAATTTGAAAATAAAAAAAACTTAAGATACATCTGCATATTTTATTAAAAAACCAACATATATAAATTCTATTACAGGTTTTGATATATTCGAATTAATTTAACTTGAGATTATATGCAAATCAAATAATAAAAGATAAATTTATATTCGTGCAATTGCTCTGCTTTGTGATGATTAATTCGTGTTCTTTCAAGTAGTTTAACTCCAAAAGGGAAAATAGAAATCAACACGCGGGATGTGAACTAAATATCAACCTTAAAAAGTCATATTTATCCCATTCTTAACATAAGATGTATCACCTCCGGCACTTAAATAAGAACTAATTGATTAATTTGAGTAGATTAAAAGAATTGGTTAACTAAGTTATTTGTAATAAATACGTGTTGTATTTCTTAAAATATCTTTTGCTAATTAACTGTATTGGTTAGATAACTATTATTATAAGGATTACCTTAGAAAAAATAAATAAATATGAGAAATAAAATAGATTAGAGTTTTATTTCTGTGACCAAAATACAAATCAAATGGATCTTACATTAAGAATCAGAGGTAGTATTTAACTAATTTGATTATATTAACGAAATTAGATAATTAGTTAATTATAATAAATATAATTTGTTTTTTCTTAAAATATGATAATCATCTTTTTTAATATTCTTTCTCACTCTTACTTGATTATGATTAAGGATCATAGGAATACTAAAATCAATTCAATAATAAGGTCTATATTAAAGATAGGAAGAGTGTTAACTATTGATTGTGTGCTTATCTCAGATTCTCCCTTTAGATTTCAATACAGTAAAACCGAATTGCAATAATGCGAATGATCCTTATTCAATATACAATTGACTGATTGGCGTGTCCTCCGCCCCGTTTAGATTAATTTCACATTTTATAATATGATAAATCGAATTGTGTTGTTCATAAGTAATAATTTAATATTTATATAAGTCAGGCTTTTGTGTTTATAAGTTGAGTTGTGTAATTTGCAACTCAAACTTACAAATATTAAATCCATTTGAACTTATTAGAATTAAATGAAATTTAGAAACCTGTCTGTATTTAATTTTTTTTCACCTTGATCCTATGAGTAATTTTCTTAATTTAACCCTTATTTTATTATATCCTGTTGGGTTGAATCTATTATATATCACTTTTAGGTAGTATTTGATTGATTCGTAGATTTTGATTTGATCAAAATTTATTCATTCATTCATGGATTATTAGATTTATAATTAATCATAATAATGGTTATTATTATCTAAATTAACATATAATTAATGTTAGTCTAAAATGTAATTTTTATTAATAATTATACTATATACAAGTTTTGAATTGGATTTTTTTTTGGGGGCTCTATGCAATCTCTTCTTCTTTTGTTTTCATTTTCCCCCATATGAATAACATGGGGACTAAGTTCCATCCTAAATTTTAAAAGAATCATAGTTGTCACATCACATCCAAGCAAAAGAAGAAGAAAGAAAAATGCTTTTTTTTGGGAGAATTTAAAAAAAAAGCCTCTAAAATTTTTAAATCCCTAATGATTATAAAAATGTATTATCATTTGTTTTTTAAATATTGTTAATTATTATTAAAATATAGTAAGCAAGATTGATTTGAATTTTTGAAATTTAAAAATATTTTATTTTGAAATCCTCTCCTTTTTTTAAAAAAAATAGTTAATACAATTTTTAATCTTTTAAGTTTTCAGGGATTTTGCTTTTAGTTTATTGAATTTCAAATAATAAATTTTAATTATTTAAATGGTAAAATGGTTGAGATTTTTAATAAATCATAACTATTAATGTTTTAGATAGAAAAAAACTCAAAAAACTAGAACTTGTGGTTTAAAATTTAAAAGATCAAAATTAAAATGAGAGTAAATTTAAAAATAAAAAATTATATTAATCTTAAAAAATTACTGACTCGGTTCTTGAAAGACATCGTGAAGACATTATTATATGACTAGAAAAATTCTGAACTTGTACACTTTTTGAACTTTTTATAAAAAAGCATCACTGGCTCAATTTCTTATTTAATTGATGAATCAAAAAAAATGCGAGACTATGGATGACAATTAAGTGAAATCGAGTTCGTTTTAATCATAATTTTTTTTTCAGCCAGAACGTTGAGTGAGTTTCATGTTGAAATACTCCTCCGGTCCTAATTATAAGACCCAATTGACTTATTTGAGGAGATTAAGGAAGTAAGTTAAGTTGGTTATTTATAATAAATAAGTGTTGTCATTCCTAAAATATCCTTGCTAATTAAGTATATTGGCTAAAACTATCATTATTAGAAGGATTATCTTGGAAAAAAATGCATAAATATAAAAGACAAAATGGATTGAGTCTTATAATTAGGACCAAATAAAAAGTCAAATTGGGTCTTATAATAAGAACCGGAGGAGTAAAATCCGATTCAGGAACTCGTGTTCTTTCGGTAGGCTGTGGTTACTATTTGGGTCGTTCGTACGATGAATAAGTTAATTCATGACTCTTGCATCTCCGTAGGGGGTTCAATATAATATTAGACCTTAAAGTAGCCGCTTAGAAATTGCAAGGAGTTACCAGGAACCTATCAGCATATGCCGAGACCAATTGAGACTCGACTGGGAAAGCTCCAGCCAGGGAGCTGCGTCGCCTGTTAGTGGTTAATGTTTTCTGTTTTGAACCTTCAAGTGTAATGCTTGCCTTGTAATTCAAAAAAAAAAGAAATTGCAAGGAGTGGGGAGGGGGGGGGGGAAATCACTGAGCGTCGTATAAGTTTGCGTGTATCCCAGTACTGTTGTTTAAACTAATTTATTTTCAAGTGAACACGCATGTTGATTGATATGAACATTCTGGTAGCTTTTCAATTAGTTGACTGGTTGTTTTGAAACTAGGTTGTATGCCCATTAATGATCCTTACGGTGAAATCTAAATCGTTAAGATATAATTTTAATTGTCTAAATTTAAAATTTTTAACTATTAATTTTTAATAAAACAATTATTTTTTAAAAAACTTACATTTAAGATATTACATTTATTTTGTCTCATATACTTGTTAAAAAATATTTTTTTTAAAATAAAAATATTAAATATTAAATTTCAACTATTCATACTGAATTTAAATAGTTGAGATTTACGAGTATCATAGTGCTTATCACTATAATGAGCATTAAAATTGGTTCTATTGTTTCTATGGCAAACATTAATTAGCCAATTGAAATTATATCATCATTTGCTTATTACTCACATAGTGTTGGGTAAATTATTGAATAAAAAGATGAATTTGCAGTGAATGTTAGTGCCTCTTAAGTGGACTGTATGAGCATACGGGGGACGCATTAAAAATTATGGAAGCGACAAGATGATGAACATTAGGCTCAAAACAAACATAATAAGCGAATGGTCCACCGAAAAGGAATTTTTTCGTTTCCGCTCTAATTGGTTTTCTCATTTTTTTTCGTGGCAGCCAATCAGCTAGCGCCTTGCCTCTTCGACGGCCGCCAATGGCTTCACAAGACCTTGAGCCAATTTTATATTACTTTTTGAATGATTACTGTAAAACATATTTAATTAATTTATTAGAATAAAAAATTTAAATAAATTAGTTAATTATAAAAATATGATATATTTTTATAATTTTTCTTTTTAATATCATTTCTTCTTTTCTTACTACAAAACTATCAATAAAAATGCTTTAAAAAAATTGATAAATATGAAAAATAAATCTTATATTTAAGATTAAGATCAACTCAATAATTATTTAAATAGTGCAAGTTGCTATTTTTAATACTTTATATATCAAAAGCATAAATAACTATGGAGTAACGTTCTTTCAGTAAATTCTTTTTTTTTTTCAAAATTAATAATTTCAATGTTAATAAATAAACGCAATTTACCTCTCCCTGACTCCGCGCACAAACAGCACGGGGGAGAAGTAGACGCCACGAAAGCGCAAAAAGATCAGAAGTGTTGCTTGTTGGCAATTTGGTAG